AACACCTAAAGCCCCCAGTTGCAGGTCTGTTTCCTCATACCATATACTTAGGTTTAAAACAACATCCAGAATTGGTATTTCCTGGATCTCTCAAAGCAGCCCCTTGTATTTGCAGATAGCCTTCTCTCAGTTCATAACAGCATAGTTTCATGGGGGACCTCACTGAGTAGAGCAGTGCTGGGTGGTGATGTGGGCTCTGGGTATCAGGACCGAGCAAGTGTTCCCAGCTACAAGTGTGACCCCTGGAGCAAACCAGTTAACTCCTCTGCAGAATGGGAATAGAGACTCATACCTACAAGAGAGCTGTGAAGTAGAATAGTTTAATGTGTGCAATGTACTTGATTTTTTTTTTTTTTTAATATAGAAGGGCAAGTAATTATGTTTTAGGGAGAGGATTAGAAGGGATGTTTTGGATCACGAGGTCAAGTCCCTTGCTGTGGGTGGTAACCACATCTCTGAAGCTGGTTCTCAAACCAGTCAAATTCCATCTTCCAGCTGCTTTGATTCCTTCCTGCCTGCGGAAGGCCCCTCTGGGTCCTCACCACTCTGGTGGGGTGAAGGTGCTTTTCTGTTTCCATCTTGAATCCCTTACTGGACAGTTTGTACCAATTCTTTCTCTCATAATTATTTTATTTGGGAGAAGGGGAGGGAAACTGTCTCATAATTTTCAGATTAATTTAAATTTTTCTCTGAGCCCCAGACACCTGGTGGAAAGACGCCAGCAATGCTGTAGGCTGGTTCGATGTACCAATAAAAATAAAATTAAATTAAAAAAAAAAAACCCTCGAGTAAGAAAAGCGCCATTCTTAGAAAGCCTCCAGCGTTCCAGCTAGAGCACAAACAGCTGCTTATTTGGGACTCTGCTCGGGTAAATCAACAGCCCCGGGCCAAAGGGGCCGCAGCTCTTGTGGTCTCGCAAAAACCCAGACCCACCCCGGTGGGGGAACACACAAGGGAGGGAGGAAGGAACGAATAGGGAGAGAGGACCATCCTCAAACCGCGATTGAAACCTCGCCTGGGGAGGGCCGACGCTCCGCTGGGGCGAACGAGAGCGAAGACCCCCCCTCGGGACGAGGGTCTCTGCACGGGTTCAGCATCACGCTCCCTGCCCGCCCTTGGAGGGGCACAGGTCCGCACCCCCCGCCCGCCCTGCCGGGCTCTACCCCCTCCCTGTCGGCCCCTCTGGAGTTCTGCCCGCGCCCCCTCGCCCCGCCGGGGCTCAGCCCCGCGGCCCCGGGCTCCTGCCGCCGGGAAGAGGCAGCAGGGCTCGGCGGGGAGGCAGATCTCCTTTTTACCCCTTGGCTCGGTTTTCCCCCTGCCCAGGGAACAAGCGCCTTTGTTGGAGCTGCGCTCCCCAGGGCTGGGGGTGATTTTTTCGTTTGTTTGGTTTTGACCTTCCTCCTCCGCTGCCTCCCGCGGTCCAGCACGTCCCCGCACCGGCGGCCCCGAGGGCGGACGGACAGCGCCCTGCCGCCTGTCCCCGGGGGAGCCTCGGGAGCGAAGGGGCTGAAGGGGCTGAAACGGTGGCGAGCGGGAGGGATTCGGGAGCTCTTCGCCAGGGCAGTCGGTCCGTGTCCCTCGGCGACCTATGTCCCTGCTTCCCAATGGGTGAAGGCAGTGCGTGTCTCCCGTGGAAAAGCTGTGTGGCAGCAGCCCTCCGCTCGCACGCGGGGCACGGGCTACTGTGGAGGGGCGCGGGCTGGAGCAAGGGCCAGGTGTGCCATCGGGAAATACCACTTCCAGCCCCGGATCGAAGAGCTTCCAGACCGTGGCTTCACGGCTCGACAGAGGGCCAAACAGCCTGTCCCCATCCCCCCCTCCAACAACTACACCCCCTGCAGCCTCCAAGGCCATTAAGGCTGAAGAAACAGCCACCAAAAGCCCTCGAAAAGCCTCTGCCGAACATCTGCACCCCCAAAGAAAACTGAAAACCAAAGTGAGAGTAAGCCAACAGCCCCACCAAACGAGCCCCTCAAAACGGCGGGGCAAGCCAGCCCAGGCAGCGCCGCCAAGACCGTGGCCGACCGCAGGGATGCCCGAAGCCCGGGGACCACCCTCCCGTCCACCGCAGACTGCGGGTTCCTAATTCCTACGAATTCAACCAGAGTCCCCAAATGATAACGGGGGCGGGATGGGGTCTAACACCCGAGTCCAGTTGCAGTGTAATCACAAGAAAACAGACGCAGGTGAAGGGCTGAGAGCGCGCCCGCAGCCGCGAGCGCAGCGGCAAAACTTGTGCTGGGGGGCCGGGGCGCCTCGCAAAACGACGGGTGGCAACGGGGGAGCCTCTCGCGAGGGCTCCTAGAGCGGAGAGAGGAGCCGAGGAAGCGGGAATTTTCCCGGGAAGGGGGGGCGGGTGTGGCGGCTGTCGGTGCGGAGCCAGCCCTCGGTGCGCACCTTCGGCCCCCGCGCAGCTCCACCGGGACCTGCGCGGCTTTTACATGGGCGATCGCGCCTGGCCGACTCGCATCGAGCGAGAGGCTTTCCGGGAACAGGCTACCAAGAGCAGAAGGAGGAGGGGGGGAGGGTCGGTATGAAATAAAAGGCTAAAGAAACAGTGAGATTTTGGGACGAGGACCAAATCCTAACGTGTTACATAAAAGCCACGGGCGGTTCTTATCAGCAAGCCCGGCCTGAAGAAGAACGATCCCCAGGAGCGGCTCCAAAACAACCCTGTTAAAGGAACAATTGTGAAATGCCAACTTCCCACCAGAGTATGAACAGCAGGAGCCGGGCATGTCCTGTCTATAACCGGGCTTCTGACAACCGACAGAGAGGGAGGGGACGGGGGGGGGGGGGGCCCCTCTTGACAAGATTTATCAAGAAAAATTTAACTGGGCTTTAATCATATTAGCAAGAGCCCAATTAGGGCTGAGAGCGAAGCGAGGCGGCCGGCGGGCTGGGGAGAGGAGGAGGAGCAAGCGATGGAGTCACTCGAGGATAAAGTCCTTTCATCAGGCTCCGCTCTCGGCAAGCAGAGGAGTGCGAATAATCATTGCCCTTCACTGGGGGGACGGGGGAGGGAGCGAGTGGGGAATGTGTGTAAAGGATCATTAAGGCCAGGCAGAAGGGGGTTTTTGTTGTTGTTGTTGTTGTTTTTAATTATTACGGCTATTAAGGTGGTATTTCTGGGCTCCCTCAGGCGCTGCTCCCAGGGACGGAGAAGGGAAGAAGCGAAGGGGTTCAGAGGCACCTGCTGCACCGCGAAGATCTGATCTGCGTGTGCGGATAGGGCTCTCCCTACCAGGACAAAGAGGGGCTCCGTTCCTTCCATCCTCTCCCCCCCCCTTACATCCCCGAGGGAGAATTTCCTTAAAAGCCTTTTCCCCAGGTCTCCTCTCCCTGAAGTCGAGCCCTTCTCAGGCTCATTCCGCCTCCCAGTGCGGCTCCTCGGGGTGAGAGCGGCGCCCTCTCCCCACCGCCCCCGCTCCACAGGGCGCGGAATGAGGGCGCAGCGCAGCCCCCGGCTGATGCCAGCCCGGTAGCTAGAGCTCGTCGAAAGCCCCGGGAGAAGTGCGGCACTGGGAACGCCCGGGTCAGGGGCAGAGGGCAGAAGATGTCCTCCCGGGGTTCAAACTTGCCGTACTTTCCCGTGGGCAACCTGCCCCGTCCTTAGGGACTCGCTTGCTCCAGCTATAGGGGATGGGAAGGGCGGACATCAAAGAAATAAAGAAAAAGTAAAAATGACAGGTGGAGCAAAGGAAGAGGCTATCTATGAGCCCATGAGCACCCCCCTTCCCGGGTTACGCCACCTCGGGGACACGGCGGTGGGAGCGCGGCAGAGGCCGAGACCCTGTCCACGGCTTTCGAGACATTGCCAGCAGCTGCCGGCAGCTGCCCCGATTTCCTGCCGCTCCCCGCGGCCAGGAACGGGGAGACAAGGCTCTTGGGCAGCGAGGCACCTTTCGCCCAAGAGGAGCCAGGTCTTTGCACCGCGGGGCAGAGGATGCTGTCGTTTTATTTTTTTAACAGGGCAGGGCCCGGGTGGGGTTTGCCATTCTCACCGACGAGCATCCCTGCGGTCGGGAACGATCTGCCCCCTGCCTGGCGCCCAGGGACTCTCGACCCCCACATCCCCCCTCCGCCTCCTCCCCGCGCCCCGGGCCGCCGCAACCCCATCCTCGGGAACGAGCGGCCCGTGGGGCAGCCTCGCCCCCACGCCGTGCCCTTTGAGTGACCGTGCCCCCGCCGCACCTTTGTTGTCCCACTCTTACCTTTCCGGCCCGGCCGCCGAGGGGCTGCCCCCCCCCGCTCCCGCCCCCCGCCCCGTCTCTGCCATCCCCGCCGCAGGGGTGTCGCACGCCGCCGCGCCGGCACAGCCTCGGCTCTCTCCTTGCGCGCACTCGGCTGGCGCTGGCAGCCCCGCCGGGTTCATCCGAGGACAGCAGAGGCTCCGCGCCGCGGCTCGTCTGGCTGCCAACGCCGCGGCGAGGCTGACGCTGCCGCGGCCGGGGGTGACTCACGGCGGCCCGCGGCAGCCGCCGGGTAGCGGATCCGCCAGTCGAGCGGGAACCGGGCACGTCGCGGCCGCCCCTCGCCCCCTTCCCCAGGCACCGCGGACCACCCCTCGCACACATGTCCCCCATCTCCCCTGGCCCCCCTCCGCTTCTGCCAAGTGGAATAAACGCCCCGGTTTTCCGGCAAATATTCACCCTTCAGGCACCGAGCGGGAGGCCGCCCCCCTCCCGGCCGGGCCGGCACCCCTGTCGGAGGCGGGCCGGGGTCCGTGCCCTCGGCCGGCAGCGCTCCCGGCGGCGCCAGCCCCCAACGTAAGTGACCGTCGGGCCCGGGAGGGGGTGGCCGCGCCTCGCGCCCCTGCCCCAGGGCTGCGCTCCGGGGCCGGGGCTGGTGCGGGCGGGCGGACCGGGCCGGGCTGACCCCCGGCCGTGGCCCCAAGCGCGGCCCCGGCGCTGTGCCCCGCGCTGCCCCCGGAGCTGTGCCCGGCCTGCGCCTGCGGGAAGAGCCGCCCGCCTGCACCCGGACAAAGGCAAACAACAACCCGGAGCCCGCTGAACGGCGGGGCGGGGAGGGGACGCGGGGCGCAGACGAGGACAGGGACCCGGAGTCCCATGTGCAGGGCAGCGTCGGTGTCATCACCGGTATGCTCTGCCCTGCTCGGGAAACAGGCTGCAGGGTTTTAGCTGCCTGCGGTTTCCATGGAGTTCTCCGGGCACGTCCGAGCCAGAACGTATGGCAGATGCCTTCACAGGCGAGCCTGCAACAGGTCTCCCGCTTCTGCTCGGAGCTCCCAGGTGGAGCCTTTTCAGGTCCATTACACTGCGTAGCTCAACACCAGCAGTGCTTTTGAGAACATGCTTAGTGCATGACATCCCTGTTCTGAAACAGAATTTTGATGTGAAGCTGTGGCAATACACATCTCCCAGTCCACATTGTTGGCTGGATGCACAGTTTTAAAAGCAGTGGCTCCCTAAAATGAAGATACTATTAAAAGCTCATTTATTAAGAAACTCAGGGCACGAAGATAATGATAATGAGTGCTACATTCTCTGCATACAGGCTCAAGTTTTGGATATAGGATGAAGGCTTGACTGGGCCTGTACTTAAAAGTACTCTAAATCTACTTGTCAAAAATGTGCTAGAATGATAAGCCATGGATTTAGGGAAATGGATTATGTTGTCAGTGCTTCAACCGTAAGTTCATTTTTAAGTCCAAATTTCAGTCCTTGAGAAACGAAAGGAGGAGGAGGAGGAGGAAGAGACTATTATAATTGAAATGCTGACATTGCTAACCGTGGCAGTGTGAATTCACTACTATAATAAGACCTCAGCTAGCAGCCTAATTCCAAAGAGATGATGTTATCTAGTAATAATGTAATCAGTTTGTTGGCTGTAACTGGTGATTGGTCTATTTTATTGCTATTTTTGGCCAAAATTTTTAAAAAAATAAAAATCCATAAAATGCCAGGATTGAGGCAGGAGAGCTACCTTTGCTATTTAAAATAACAAACCGAAGTTCTTAATGAACATTTTTCACTTCAGTGCAGTTTTACAAAAGCATACTTAAAAAGGGACAGCTAGTGAGAATGCAAGCTTTCAAGCTAGGGATTGAAGGACAGAAAGGCCCAAGGGTGTAACATTGTTAAAAGTTTTCAGAGAGGTCCCGAAAGCACAATGTTCATTTTATAAAATAGAAGTTTTCTCCTGGGTAATTGCTGAATGAGTTTGCATTGATTTGCAGCTGCAAATTTAAAGGAAAAAGAGGGAAAGAAAATAAATGAAAAAGACAAATGCCCTGTTAGTAATTTAAAACTATGCCACAACCATTAGGAAGATTGCATCAGATATAAGAAAAATTGGAAATGACTGCTTAAGCTTTTGAGTTTATATATTCAGGATTCTCGAGCCTACATATCTTTCTTTTGATAGTTATTTTTAAGGAGTAAACATTCTGATAATTGTCTTGGCAGCTGGTTCTCAAATTAGAAATAACAGCATAAGTGATCTAACTTGTAATGTGCATGTGCCAGTGAAACCTTACCTGTGAAATCTTCTACAGAAGGTTGGTCAGTGATAGTGAAGTCAGAATTTCAGCCACTATGAAGGAAGCCTTGTTGCAGAAAATTGCAAGGATAGAGTAATTCAGGTATATTCAGGTTTAGATTTTGCTGTTGCTCTTGATGGGGTTCTGCGTGTTTAACCTAAACCAAAATTCACTTTGGTCAGTGGGACTCTTTGGGTTGGGACCATGAATTCTTTGAAGGAGCAAGTCTTAGGTTTCTTCATGTTACTAGGAAACCCAGCAGTATCAAGACAAAGATATGGGAAAGTATGTGAAAACAATGAAAGCAAAGTAATGAGTATAGCCAAATCATAACTGCCCATTTTAACAGAGTGGCTTGTAAATAACAGAGCCTTACAAGAATACTTGGGTGTGTCTGAATCAACCCATTCTGAAAACCCTATGATATGCAGCTGCAGAAATGACACAAATTCTGGAAAAACTGCCAACAAAACCTGAGATAACCCTGATGGGTTTTTATTCAGATTTGTTGAAATTTCTTGAAAATTGTGTTTCCTAAGTATCATAAAAGCTCTGTTCTGCATATCAATATATCACATGTTGTCCAGTAACTCTTGAAAAGCAGACTGAAATTACTACAGTGATTATCTTGTTCATCTGATATTTTTAAGGTAACATTAACATTCTTTTAAGACTTGTAATTTAAAAAGCATTATCATAAGCATTACAACCATTTGTGAATGTGTGTAGTCTGGGCTGTGGAAAATCAGGGGCTGGCATTCCCCGTCAGGCTTACATCCAAAGACATATGAGTTAATTTGCACTACATGACCATCGACACTACAGAGTAATGAACTGGAAGAGGTATTCTGAGAAATGTGGATGATTCCAGAGATGCCCTTACACATTTGCTTGAAGCTAGAAAACAGATGTGATATAATGATAGTTGTTTTGGTTTTATTGTGGAAGAAAATACCAGCTTGTGACTGCTGATTGGATGTGAAACAAACTTTACGGCTGTATGGATCGGATGTGGCACATCAGCTGTCATACAGGGTGCTAGTGGAAGCATTGTGTATTAGTTCCGTAACAAGAGTCACTAATTATTGTTTCTCACAAATACAAAATGAGAGGGCAATGAAAAATTAATCAAGGAAATTTATGTATGGATATGCAGTATGGTAGTCTGGATGCCAGCAGCCACATGGGAAATCCCCAAACTACTAATTGAAGGAAATTTTAAGAACTTAACAGGTGAGTCGCCTATGTATTTTCACTTCTTTATTTTTTTCATAGTTATTCACTCTTGGCCACCACAGAGAGATTACATTAGCCCAGTGTAGACATTTTTGCTCTCTTGGTGCATTGTTCTTGAAGTCCAGTCTCCTTCTTTGTCATTACTCGCAGTTACTTAACTTTTTATTTTTTATGCAAAAGGTCACTTTTTTATTGAGAGATTGAGTATGATAGTGCAGAGGTAAGTCTTTGTGTATACAGGAGAAAAGAAGTGAGTGAAAGAGGAAAAGGGAAAGGAGAGGGTGCTTGGAGAGCACAGAAGGAAGATCGGAAATGTGGGGTTTGCAATGGAATGGCTGGTGATGGGATGGGACAGGAGGAGCCCGTGCAGACAGCATTCAGAGTTTGTCATTTGACCAGACTACCCCTTATTTACCATGCCCTGCATTTCTCAGTGGGGATGCAACTTGGAATCTATGTGCAACACTGAAAGATTGAGAAAGTAAGGAGAGAATGAAAAAGCAAGAGGCAATTTCTTAATTTGTTTCTTTTCCATTTCTAAAGCCTGCCTAGCCCACACATCGGGTAGGGTACACTTAAAATCCTGGACAAAACTAAGCTGGAACTAGAGAAAATTTGGAAAGAAATTCCAGTAATTTTAAAGATGATAAAAAATATCTGATACCTCTTGTTCCCCCCTAAAAAAAAAAATGAAGGTACTTAATGTCAATCAAAATCATCTGCCCCATGGTAAATGCCTGACAACAAGAAGACGTGTATCTACTCTGAAAGCAGAGTTCAGAGTATATATATGTAACTGCAACTCATATCTTGTCCTTCTGATAATATGTTGACCTAGAACTTTCACATTGTCATCTTTTTCTGCTTTCTTTTTCACTCAATTTTCTTCTTTGCTTTTGGGACAGAAAATCCCTCACGCAGTGTGGTCCAGGTTATACTGAACTGTGGATGTCTCATGCAGAGCAGTATCTTATTCTACTCATGACTTACTCATGTTGCAAAAGCAGGGTGAGTAATGGGTGCTGGAATTTAACTCCGTTCTGCATTTTGAATCTGAGGTTTCTGTAGTGGGTTCATGAAGTTCACAGACTACTGTTAGTAATTTTTCTTACTTTTCTACCTCCCACTTTTGCTTTTTTTTTTGTTTCTCCAGAGGTTTTCTGTGGTCCCGGAGGACTTTAAAACTTTGCAATATGACACAGAACTATATAAAAATACTCCAAGCATGGTATAAACATACAGAGTGCATTTGTACAGCAGAAAGACCAGGGTTTGACTGGGCATGATCCCATATAGGACTGTGAGTCATCATTGCACCTTTATCAGCAGCAAGGATTGCAGTGACTGCAGGTCTTAGGGATGTGGGCGTAGAGGAGAAGTGGTGCTGGACTATTCACATTGCAGGTGGGATGTTTTAAACAGCACCCTGCAACATCATCTTGAATCCACTGGGAGAAAAAGCGGTTTTGATATACCAGTGATGTTCTCAAGTACATGCCATAGGACTCCAAGTAGAGGGGCAAATTTGAATTTAATAAGAAGCTCTCTGATGCACTAAATTGCAGATGAAGGACTTGCAGTGAGAAATATCCTGGTCCAGATAGATCTTTTGGGAGTACCTGCAGGTCAGACAAAGAGGGTCTCAGAAGGAATGCAAACCAAACAAACAGAAGTGTTCAAAATCACAAACAAGTCATTATCTGATCTGGAAACAGAACTGAGGGGTTGCCTGTAGCTGCACTTTGTTCAAACTTCAGTTGGGCTTGTGATGTAACTCACCATCAGCACACACAGTTCATGTCAGACTCTGGACTGTGGGTTTTCCTACTGATGATTCTGCAGCCTCCCAGGGTTCCTGGGGCTAGTGTGCAAGGGTCTATTTGCTCAGAGATCTCTATTCAGTGCAAAGAGGCGGTGACAGAAGTTGCTGTTAATTGTTGCCGTATGGGTAAAGGTTGGGGGTTGCTATGCAAGCAAGTCTCCTCTGCTCTGTTCCAGTTCAAAGTTGAGCCATCTAGACGAAATTAGGGAGAAGTGTTAATACAGCTAGTGTTAGGTCTCAAAAGAATAGAGACAAGGAGGAAATAAATCATCCAAATGAGTACACAGCAGTGGTAAATCTCTTGGGTCAAGCCCCAAGTTCAGACCCAGAGGGTGCGTGCAGTATAGATGTTCTGAGTCCAGCCTTGTGTCTCACTAAGCAGATCAGTCATTTGTGAAAAAGCATCTGATGCTTTCCAGGATAAGCTGGCTGTTTAGTTTGTCTTTCTAACTAGTCAATAAAACTCAAACAGTGTTCTTCTAGAAATTATCTTTGTATTAAAATTGCCTTCTTCCTATATGTCTAAGCCTATATTTGGA